GGAAGATCGCTGGGAGTTCGAGACCAGCCTGGGCTATACAGTGAGTTCTAGAGCAGTATGAACTACACAGTGAGACTCTGTCTCAAACAAACAAACAAACAAACAAAGAATCATTTTCTAGGGCTGGGGATTTAGCTTTGGTTCTGCTGGCTGCCTCACAAGGGCAAGGACCTGAGTTTGTCCCCCCCCACAAAATCATTTTCTAGCTGTTCAACCTTAGGCAAGTTGTTTAACCTCTCTTAGCCTTGGTTTGCTTATCTGTAAAATGGGAACTGTATAGTCTTATTTGAATCATTTGAATTTGAAGTAGCATGTTGTAAAAATATTTGTTTCCCTCTCTCTGTGAAATCAGACATAACCCTAAATTCCCCAACTAGAAATTTGTCAGAAACCTGAAAGACAATGTGAATTGTAAACTGCAGACTGCGTTTATGTTATAGCCACACGAAAGCATTATGCTAATAGGCAAACAGGCATACTTGGTGTCTTAGTTATTTTTCTTGTTGCTGAGACAAAATACCCGACACCCAAAGTTAAGGGAGGAAAGGTTTATTTAGCTCACAGTTTGTAGAGGTTTCAGTCCATATTCAGCTGGCTCCAAGGCAGGGTGGCATGGCAGACAGGACTTGCAGAAGAGAAGCAATTCATGGTGGGAAGAAGGCAGCAAAGCAGCAAGGGCCAACCACAGCTCTTTCCCTTTATATTTTATCCATTCACACCCTGAATCCCAGCACCCTTGATCCTGCCATTTTAATCCCAGAGTCACACACTCTAGATCCAGCAACCTTTGAAAAAGCCCCACTTATAACTGTGTGAGGCTCTGAGGGGACATCTAGACACAAGCTGTAACACCAGGGGTCCTTTAGGAGGTGAGTTTTGAATTATTTGAAGTCTTCAGCAGTGTCTCCTTTGAGTAACTAGAGAGTTTCCATTTCCCTTATAGCGCAATTATGAATGTCAAGTGACGTAATTGCAATGAGCAGTTCGCAGCAAGCAGGCAGTAATGGTGTTACTCTGAGACAGTAATTACTGTGAGAACAGAGAGAGAGAGATAGTCGATGCACAAGGAGAAGTGGGTTCTTACGAGGAGTTGAGCTCTTGTGAGCTTTGGTATGATCAGCAGGCTGGTTTGGCAGCTGATGCTATTTCCTAGCACAGCGTAATGTGTGTACTTAGCAGGATTTCTATCGGTGGGCCTGACTTTTAAAAAGGTAAGATTCGAATCTAGTCATACCATGATCAATTTTGTGTTATGATTTCTATGCACAGAACTGGCTGTAAGGGATTAAAAAGATGGCTGGATATGATCCTGCTCCCCAGGAAATTACATCTAAACAAAGCATGATCAACTACTTAATAAATGGCCTTATGCAAGCCACAGATCATATATTGGTTTTTGTTTTAATTTAAAATTGTTGCCAAATTAAAAATGTTTTGAGATATGGTCTCACTGTGTAGTCACAGATAGCCTTGATTTTGCTACATAGATCACCCACCCGGCTAGTCCCAGAGAAGCAATTAAATTCACTCTGACTCCAGAATCCGTGCTCTTGGCCAGCGTGCCCCGGTTTCATTTATGGCAGCGGTGCAGTTGGGTGAGTTATATATACATTGAGGTTATATACTTTCATTATAGACTCTTCCACGTCTGTATTTAGTCCCTGTCTGAGTAAGAGTAAAACATTTAGGTGCTCCATGCCTCAATCCCTCATTCTTAAAAAGGATGTGTATAGGGCCAGGGATGTAGCTCAGTGGTTCTGCCACCTGCCTCGCAAGCACAAGGTCCCAAATCCAATTCCCAGTACCAAAAAAAAAAAAAAAAAAAAAAAAAAAGTATTAGTATGAGTATTACCTACATCTTTGCATTGGCAAATTAAATGAGATAAAGCGGTTAAAGAAGCACAATTAAAGCTCTTAGTGTTAGGTGCCACTGGCATCATCACCACCATCGTTGGTCAGCATAATCTGTCTGGTATATGAGTACTTAAATTTTTAGATGGGAAAAGGAAGACTACTTTGAAAATTTCAACAGATTAGGAGGAAGCAAAATCCCAGTTGAGGGCTGGGGATTTAGCTCTTTGGTGCTGTGCCTGCCTGTCAAATGCAAGGTCCTGACTGATCCCCAGTACTGAAAAAAAAAATCTCAGTCTTGAGTCTGGAAAAATTACCAGGGGTAGGAAGAGAAGAAGGCAAGTTCTAAAATATGCCTTATAACCCTGTCATTGTTTAGAGGTGGAACAGCAGTACAAAAGCTCTCCACATGCCACACGATCCCTCTTTCCACTCCCCCAAACTCTTCTCAGTTCAGGACAGCTTTGAACTCATGGTACTCGATCCCTAGTCTCCCAAGAACTTGCATTGTAGACACGTGAAACCGCGTCTAGCTGTAAAAATTCCTGGCTTTTTTTTTTTTTTTGGGGAAACCTGGTAGATCTGGCAAAGCCAAGCCTGGGTTCTGGCAGGTTACCATCTGGCTGCCCCTGAGATGGAGTGTGATAGGGTGAATCGTGTTTCCCCAAAGTTTGTCTGTTGAAGTCCTAACCCCTAGAATCTCAGAATGGGACTATATTTGGAGATGGGAGCTTAAAAAAGATAATTAAGGTAAACTGAGTCACATGGGTAGGCTCTAATCTAATGTGACTTGTGGCCTGGTAAGAAGTAGAGATTAGGACACGAACATACGCAGAGGGACAATCAGGCAAAGACACAGCAAGAAGAATATAGCCCTCTGCAAACCAAGGCGAGAGGTGTCAGCCATGCCAACACCTTGATCATGGATGTCCAGCCTTAGAAACAGACAAAGGGCTGTTGTCTCAGTCCCCCATCTGTGGCACTCTGTGGTAGCCCAAGTGAATTAAGATGTGACGCTGTTCTTCAGACTCCAAAGTTGTCACTACTCCCAATGCCACCCATCCTGTTTATTACACATATACCTCTCACAGCCCTTGCTGACATCTGCATTTGCAACCTCTGACCTAGAGGGGGAAAGCTTTGGTTCTCCATCTATGTTGGATCTTCTTCTTTCAATGTTTTGATGTTTTTCTATCCTTTAATTATACCTACACTTCTAAGATGTCATCTCCCCTCAGCCGAAGAGAACATAGCCCAGAAAAATGAAAAATTGTGTTTCACAGGCCAAACATATCCAGAAACCTCAGCTTTCTGACTTGAGGCCTAGCATTCCTGTCCCTTGTGACCTCTCCGCTCACAGAAGAGTTACCAACAGGCAGTCACGTGTGTGTTACAGAAGTAGGCATTTATAAAAGTGAGCAAATCTGGGAATGCTTCCTGGCTTGAAAAAATATTTAGCATAGCATCCCTTTCAAAAGTAAACCTAGAACTGAGCTTGATTAACAGGAATCCGATTTATGCAGGGGTTCCTCTCAGAGGCAGAGTAAGTTTGGCCGGGCTCTGAAGGAGGATGGGGAAGTTGTGAATGTCTCTTGTCCCACCGTGAACCCTGGTGATCGAGACTGTGGGAAAGAGAGAAGGAACAGCAAGACAAGAAAGGACGGCAGGATGTGCAGGGAGCTCATTGAACGGCTGATGGGGCAGGAATAGCTTTGAGGATGACCCTAAAATTGTGAAAAGAATCTCACTTAGCATGCTATGAAAACACCACGAGAACAAAATAGGTTATCTATGCAGAGAGGTAAACATGGCCAAGATACCCTGTTAAGAGAAAGAATGGAATGTAAATGATTATTTGTGGAGACTTATTTCTAAATGTCCGTATAGAAATGTACACATAGTTTCCGAAAAGACGTAAGATCCTGTTCAAGGGTTTCCCTGTGAGATGGACAGGAGGTGTGAGGGCTTTTGCCTTTCACTTCTCTGAAATGTCTGACTTTCTCGTGGTGTGCACCAGGATTTGTACAACCTTTAAAACAAAAGCTAACCCTACAGTTTCAGGATTGCCAAACAGGCCAGGGTGATGTCAGTGCTGGGAGATGGGGAGAAGTCAGACACTTGACTGAGGCGCTTGCTGGGTGACAGGGAAGCTCAGTGTGAAGATCTCAATGGGCGGGGGTCTGAGGACTTGGTAGTTGAAAGCCGCAGAGTGGGTTCGGTACCGGATAGGAATAATCCCACACGGTGGGGAGGGCAGAAACAGGAGTTTTTAGTAGTGTTACTTGGGCAACAGCCTTCACTGGACCTGTATAGGACATTGTCACTGATACTGCTTCTGGTCTTCACGGTGAAAATACAGGGTCTCTGGGATGGCAGCCCAAGAAAGAGAAGGCTGAAGGTTTCAAGAGATTAGTTTGTGCTCAGAGAGCACAGCAGGAGCTGGGGTAGAACTCACTGGGGCAGAGGAGAGGGTATGAAGGGATTCTGGTGTGAGAGATGGGACCAAGAGGCCAGTGCCACAGTTCAGCTGAGGGATAGGTCCTGGGATGGGGCAGTGGCACTGGGGACAGAGGAATAAAAACAAAATGGATTAGGACAAGCCTTGCAGACAAGCAGTTTAGGGTAAGGAGGGAGAGAGAAGAGTTGGCAAGAGCTGGTACAAATCTCTCGGGGTCCTTTATTACCTTTGACCGCTGTCTGCCCATCTGTACAGTGTAGTTAAAGAAGTGTTGTAAAGAGAGGATGAGATGGTGGATCAGTGACGGGGATTCCTGGCCTTCCTCTCAGGGTTTGGTTCCTGGCTGTGCATCCCTCTTTCCTAGGTGGGGATGACTTGGGGTGGAAGGGAAAGGCTGTGGGTAAGGGGCTGGCAGGGCTTGGCACACAGCAGGTGCTCGGTAAAGGGTGGAACTGTTATTTACTATTCCAGCTGGTCATCACCCAGCAGGGAGCCTGGTGGGCAAGGCCTTCAGAAATGTTAATTCGTGTTAAATTCTTGTAGCAGATATCTGGAGGCAGCAAAGAGGGGCTGGCTGCCTGGCCCAAAGAGAGGTGCCGCTCAGCACTCTCCACTCCCACACCCGGTCCCCCATTGCCCCCCACACCTCTCTTTCTCCCCCGCAGCCGCCCGCCCGGCGCAGCACACTCACCCTCCGTGCCCAGCTGCGTCCAGCGGCCTCCAGACGGACTGAGAAGCGCTCTGTGGTGCTCGCGTCCCCGCCTCCTGTGGCTGCAGCGCCGCCGCCAGGCCCTGCGCTGGCCCCAGGCATAGTTCCCCCATCCCGTCACGGCCGGAGCCTTCCCAGTCACGTGGGCTGGCTACAGCTCTGCCGCCCTTCTTTGCAAGGGTTTGGAAAAAGCTTGCAGAGCTGTGACGGCGTGGGTGTGTCAGTGCATGTCTGCGTGTAGAACTTGTTGGTGTAGTTGAAGGTTTTCTGCAGGAGAGTGAGTGTGTTATCTGTGGGCCTTTGTAAGAATGTGTGTGTCCTGAGAGACATCTGTGTGCCCTTGAATGCTTGTTTCGCTGTGGATGTGAGGGTGTGTGGGGGCACTGATGGCTCACAAGAGATCATTTCCCCAGGGGCTGCGTGTGCACGTGCTTGAGCCTGGTTATGAATCTGAGGCAGGTGTTTAGTAGGCAGCATGTGCGTGTGTCCAGACATGCATCGGGGCCTGTGTGCGCGTGTGTGTGTGTGTACACGCCGAAGGCTGCAGCCTGCTGAGCACGTCTGATCGTGGCTGGATGCCTTTGCATCGGGTGTATGTTTAAGTATGAACCTGAATGTGCACAGACACACATCCACGAATGTGCACAGGGTCTGTGTGCATCCGCAAGTGTGCCGTGTTCCTTCTCTATTGAGAGGTGTGTTTGCCTTGCTGTAGATCTCGTCAGGTCTTGAGTGTGCACAGGGGGAATAGTGTAGATATGTGTTCCTGTAACCCACCCCCCACCTTTCTCCTGGGAAGGTGATGCTTTCCTGCCTCACTCACACCCTGCTGCAGCCTCTAGTCATCGAGAGAAGCAAGCTGTACCGGAGGGTCTCAGCCCCCAGGCCAGGCCTGATTTCACTTCTTCCTGTTCCTTCCTCTGGTCTCTTCCAGGGTTTCACTGGGCTGTCAGAGCATCTGGTTTGCAGCTGGTATGTGGTGCAAAGTTTACAGTCAGAATTTCAATGCGGATACATATATATATATATATATATATACATATATACATATATACATATATATATATATGCCTTTGGATTCTAGTGTTTGTGCCCCCACCACCACCCAAGTCAGTTAAACTCCTAGATCATGTTTCCTTTCCTGAAGAGTGGAGAATTACAACTACATTGCCTGCACTATTTCTCCCTACCCTTAAAGGCAGCTGTTAAGTCATTGAAGTATACAGAGAATTATTACTAATATCACAAAAGTAGTATTTGAAAATGCAAGTTTAACACTGACACAACATGTTTAATACACATTTATTATGTGTCAGTCTCTGTCTTAGTGACTTTTTCGTTGCAGGGACTCAATACCCGACCCTAACACATTGCAGGAGAGGTTTCCTTTGGCTCATGTTTTCAGTCTATAAGAGGCTGGCACCAAGGCAGGAAAGCCTGGGAGAAGAGAGCTGCTCCCGTCGTGGCAGCCTGGGAGCAGAGGGAAGCGAGGAACAGACAAGGGCCAGGTCACGGCCCCCCGTGACTCACTTCTTCCCCCCAGACCCCTCCTCACAGCAAGCCGGCTGCAACACCCACATTCCGATCACCTTCCAAACACATGAGGCTTGAGGGCTGTTGTAGATCTCAGCCAGAACAGCACCCAAGCTGGGTGCCGGTGTAAGAGAGGAAAAACAATTGTGCATGGTGCCTGCCTTCATGGAACTTATAGTCTGACAAGGATCGTGCACATGCTTCCAAGTGAAATGAATGTTTCGGAGCAGAAGTTGAAATCACTGGCATGATCTTATTGGTAAAGAAATGGACACCCAGGAGGCATTTGATAACTGCTGATGGGATGAACGGGACAGATGTTTTTTAACTTGTGAGAAGACCTGAACCCGTGGTCTCCTGAATCAAACAGAGTCCTTGCTCCCACAATAGCCAATTCAAAATGTTTGTCAAGTGGCAGTTCCAGGAGCTGTTCCTACAAGGTAGACTGCCTCAAGCCAGAGTGGCACTTGGACTTCTTTTCCCTAGCTTGTTTCTGTCTAAAAAACATTTATTACCCATTATGAGTATGAGGACAAAGAGAAAAGCTTCTGGTTGAGAATGCAAAGTACTCTAAGGCAAACGGGGGTCCGTGCCAACAGAAGGCTTTCAAGTGTTTCAAGAAATGGGAGGAATTTCCCCTTTATTTAATCTATTCAGGCCTGGAGAACCTGCCTAACCCTGGACTAAAGGAGACAAATGACATTATGACCCTGATGCTACAGACAGCTTACAATTCAAGGGCAGAGATGTGCCAGCGGGGGCCAACTGGCCTGCTGGTCAGTGGTCTAGAGCTCTCAGTGTGCCTTCCTGTACTACAAAGGCTGTAAAGCTAAAAACCTGCTTTCCGGACTCCTTGCCGCTGGGGTTCCCATTGTAACTTATGTTTAGTGAGTCCTGTGTGCTTGCGTTAAGACCTGAGCTAAGTAAAAGGATTTTGCATTAGGTGGGGAGGAGGGAGCATCCCGGGAGGAATGTACTTTGCTGGCCCTGACCTGGAAAGTGCCACGTGGCTCTGGAGTTCTGGCCATTTCTGGCCCCAGATCACACCTAAGACGATGTGTTCCTGTACCCGGAAGCTGGGCCTGTGGTCCATTTCCTGATTGCGGTGGAAGTAATGATTCCGGTGGGGAAGGAGAGTGGCGGTATTCTGCCAGTCCTGAAAGCCCAGGCCAGAGCTTGCTTTGCAATGATTCTTTGCAGGAAATCCACGTCTGCTTCAAGTCGTTTGAAAGGTTTCTGCATCTTCACCTGAACCCTGACTGTGCTGTAGCAGTCAGGGAGGGGAGGGGAGTATGGGCCTGAACAAGCAGATGTAATCCCTACGACTGCCTTCTCCTCTGCTCTGTATCCACCTCCTGCACTCGGACCTACTTTAATCCGATCATCAACCTTCATCTTCATTAATCCGCTGATCACATGTCAAATAACTGCAACACACAAGGCATTTAGCCTGATGTTGGGGTCGCAGAGATGAATGACAGAAGCGACATCTCTGGTTCCAAAGACCTATGAGGAGATGCGTGTGAAACTAGCTCTCACATAAATGTATAATTCATAATTGTTGTGAGAGTTATAAAGGAAAAGGAGAAGGAAGTATGGGTAGAATGATGTTGGGGAGCCTGTGAGGTAACTTATTTTGTTTGGCTGGGTCACAAAGGTTATAAGAGGTCTCACTACACAAAAGTGCAAAGGAGTAAGGAGGGGTGTCAGGCAGGAGAGAGTAGTATGTAAAAGCTGCATTAAACTTTGTTAAAACATCCTCCATCTCCTCCGTGTAATTAGAGGAAAATGACTAAACTCCTTGGGGGGGGGTTCTCGGTGTATGTGTGTGTGTCCTGTGGATTTTAGGGTTTTTAACAGTGTCTCTGGTCTCTACTCACTAGAACTTCCTACTTGTAGTAGGTAGAGCTACCTCCTTGTAGCAGTTGCATCCCTCAGCGTGTGACAACCACAAAACCTCTCCAGGCATTGCCCCCTGTTCCCAGAACCAGTGCCCCGTGGGTGGCCCCACCTTGGTCAGGGTGGTCTTGTTGCTGACTCCCAAATGCATCTTCAGTGCTTGTTTCTGCACCTTCACATGTGTGCTTCCCTCTAAATACACATCTGCCTCTCTGCAAAGCCTCGGCCGTATGACTGCATGCAATTCGCAGCTGTTCTTCCCAGCAGCCTTGTCGCCAGGGGAGCTCTGTTTGCATACTGTCATGTGTCTCGGTGGATGGGAAGGGGTGGCCCATCCTAGTCCGCTGCCTGCATTCTCCTGCAGGGGCAGGGGCATGTGGATTAGGTGCCCCTTTCTTTGGGGCTCAGTTAAGGTTCTAACTGGTGGGCATGAGATCCCTGTGAGACAATTAGAGGGTTTTTGGATGATCCCTTCGAAAGGGCTCTGCTTTTCTTTGGAATTGTTAGCTGCAAAGGTATAATCCTGGGCTCCCAGGAGACAATGATATCACTACACAAATATACGAGAAAAAATGAAAGGAGAGGAGAGTGGTATGAATATATTGTGAACGCTCTTTATTCAGAGACTGGTGCTAAAAACCTCATTCTCACATTTTTTCTCTTTCTTAAAGCTATTTTGAATTGTTTCTATCAGTTACATGGAAAGATACCTATTGCGGGATCCTTTAATATTTAGTTCAAACCTTTCCTTTTTCGTCCAGAACAGCAGGAGGAAATGCTTCCTTTGAATTCATAACTGGTGGTTTGATGGATTCCACCAGCCAACTCTGCATTTCCTCCCAGCTCTGAGTTTGAGTGATGTCATGTTGGCAGTTTGAAATCGTCACAGCGGGAGCAAGTAGACCACAGAAACTAGCAAACGTCACAAACCAGGGCTCTCTTCTCTGCCTCCGGGCCTGTTCAGGAGCGCACCTCTAAATCCCTTCTCAGTTGTACCACCCTTTGGACAGTGATCAGACACCAATGTGTGGCGTCTCTAGTCTTTTGAAATTGGTGACATTGGGAGGACAAGTACTTCGTAAACAATACTACCCTTGACTCTTCGAAGAAGGAAACATCCTGAGAAATAATGTAGTACATGGTCTTCATTCCACACGAGACAAAGAGGTCCTGAGACCTTCACTGGTTGATAGTTGTGGAGCCAAGATGAAGAAAGTCCAAGACCTTTTGAGTTGTATCCATTATTAAAATGCAGGCCCCTCTCTTTGCCTTTTTCCAGTTATTTCTGTCTTTTTCCAGCCTTGGCACAAAAGTGCCTATAACCCATGGCTGAATCGTTCCAAACAGCTAATGGCCAAAACCCAAGCAGTCAGATGCTTGCTTTGAACTTGGGGATTTGGGGCTGGCTGTCAAGTTCTCCAGAATGAGCTCATTCCAGATGGGCTCTCACTAATGTGGCAATACTGGCGAGACAGCTGTTCACAGACAGGACTTGCTGCTGTCCTAAATCCGCAAACCTGGGGAACTGTGCTCACTGGGGCAGTGCCATTTGAGAGAAAAGGCCACAGTAGCGTCAGGCTAAAACACCACAGTGAAGTGATGTTAGCATAGTGTGTCACGTCCAGTGAAGCGAGATATAGTTCAACCCCAGGAAAGCCTGCAGGTTTATAAAAGTTACAGACGCACAATTTATTTTTATGGCATAGCAGTTCTGTTTCCAGGAACTTATTCTGGATGTGTGCATATGGATTTTTATTGAAACCCTTTTTTTAAACTAATAAAAGTCTGTGGACCA